TGTCACTCCGTGTAAGCGGAGAGGTATCTCTGGGCCCACTCGGTAGGACATCATCATATGCGCAATGTGACCAAGGAGTTGATCACGGGATGATGTGTTACAGAACGAGTAAAGAGACTTGCCGGTAACGAGATTGAACAAGGTATAAGGATACCGACGATCGAATCTCGGGCAAGTACAATACCGCTAGACAAAGGGAATTGTATACGGGATTGATTAAGTCCTTGACATCGTGGTTCATCCGATGAGATCATCGTGGAACATGTGGGAGCCATCATGGGTATCCAGATCCCGCTGTTGGTTATTGACCGGAGAACGTCTCGGTCATGTCTACATGTCTCCCGAACCCGTAGGGTCTACACACTTAAGGTTCGATGACGCTAGGGTTATAAAGGAAGTTTGCATGTGGTTACCGAATGTTGTTCGGAGTCCCGGATGAGATCCCGGACGTCACGAGGAGTTCCGGAATGGTCCGGAGGTAAAGATTTATATATGGGAAGTCCTATTTTGGCCACCGGAAAATGTTCGGGATTTTTCGGTATTATACCGGGAAGGTTCTAGAAGGTTCCGGAGTGGGGCCCACCTGCATGGGGGGACCCACATGAACGTGGGTAGTGGGGGAAAGGCCCCACACCCCTGGTCAAGGCGCACCAAGATCCCCCCTTAGAAGGAATAAGATCATATCCCAAAGGGATAAGATCAAGATCCCTAAAAAGGGGGGATAGCAATCGGTGGGGAAGGAAATGATGGGATTTCTTTCCTCCCACATTTGCCAACGCCCCAATGGACTTGGAGGGCAAGAAACCAGCCCCCTCCACCCCTATATATAGTGGGGAGGCGCATGGGAGCTTCACCCTTGCCCCTGGCGCAGCCCTCCCTCTCCCAAGTGCTCCTCCTCTCTCGCGGTGCTTGGCGAAGCCCTGCAGGATTGCCACGCTCCTTCACCACCACCACGCCGTTGTGCTGCTGCTGGATGGAGTCTTCCTCAACCTCTGCCTCTCTCCTTGCTGGATCAAGGCTTGGGAGACGTCACCGGGCTGTACGTGTGTTGAACGCGGAGGTGCCGTGCGTTCGGCACTTGATCATCGGTGATTTGAATCACGACGAGTACGACTCCATCAACCCCGTTCACTTGAACGCTTCCGCTTAGCGATCTACAAGGGTATGTAGATGCACTCTCTTTCTACTCGTTGCTGGTCTCTCCATAGATAGATCTTGGTGATACGTAGGAAATTTTTTGAATTTCTGCTGCGTTCCCCAACAAGAAGATATCCCATGGTGTATACTCTTTGCGGATGATGTGGTGCTAGTTGACGATAGTCGGACGGGGGTAATTAGGAAGTTAGAGTTATGAAGACAAACCTTGGAATCGAAAGAGTTTAGGCTTAGTAGAACTAAAACCGAGTACATGATGTGCGGTTTCAGTACTACTAGGTGTGAGGAGGAGGAGGTTAGCCTTGATGGCCAGGTGGTACCTCGGAAGGACACCTTTCGGTATTTGGGGTCAATGTTGCAGGAGGATGGGGTTATTGATGAAGATGTGAACCATCGAATCAAAACCGGATGGATGAAGTGGCGCCAAGCTTCTGGCATTCTCTGTGACAAGAGGGTGCCACAAAAGCTAAAAGGCAAGTTCTATAGGACGGCGGTTCGACCCACAATGTTGTATGGCGCGGAGTGTTGGCCGACTAAAAGGCGACATGTTCAACAGTTAGGTGTAGCGGAGATGCATATGTTGAGATGGATGTGTGGCCACACGAGGAAGGATCGAGTTCGGAATGATGATATACGAGATAGAGTTGGGGTAGCACCAATTGAGGAGAAGCTTGTCCAACATCGTTTGAGATGGTTTGGGCATATTCAGCGCAGGCCTCCAGAAGCTCCAGTGCATAGCGGACGGCTAAAGCGTGCGGAGAATGTCAAGAGAGGGCGGGGTCGACCGAATTTGACATGGGAGGAGTCCGTTAAGAAAGACCTGAAGGATTGGAGTATCGACAAAGAGCTAGCTATGGACAGGGGTGCATGGAAGCTTGCTATCCATGTGCCAGAGCCATGAGTTAATTGCGAGATCTTATGGGTTTCACCTCTAGCTTATCCCAACTTGTTTGGGACTAAAGACTTTGTTGTTGTTGTTGTATATAGCCTTACCAAAATGGCGGCCAAACCAAAGTATTCAGAATTTCAGATACATAAAGGGAGATGTGGTTTTTGAGGTGCACGATGCCTATAGGAGTTTCAGGCATCGGACATGGTAAGGACATCTCCAACGCCGACCCGCAAATCTCCCGCAACGGTCCGGGCCGTGCTGTCCGGACCGTGGAAGCCATCTAACGCGGGCTTCTATCGATCTGCGACGCGGTCCGGACGCAATTTCTCTCGCAAACCGGAGACAAAAGTGGGGGAGGTTTTCGAGAGTCCGGACCGATCACAAGCCCGTTTTTGATCGCCCTGGCCCACCAAAAAACCCCTCCTCTCCCGCGCTTTTTCGGTCAGCGCTCGCGTTCATGCCCGGCTAAAGCGGACGCAACCACTCACTGGCGTCGGCATTGAAGCGGCACGTCGGCCGAGAGAGCGCCGCCCGCATTGATGGTACGCAGTTGCCGAGGCATCTCCTCCGGCGCCACCCGTCCGTCCCTCTACCACCCACCGGTGTTATATAAACCGCTACCCTGATGCACCGGCCATAGCCACAGTCATCCATCTCCACACCACTCCCCGCCATGGATCCCTCCGCGGGCAAAGCTCTCTGGGACGGGCTTACGTCGGAGCAGAAGAAAGCCATGGCCGCCATTGTTGCCCCCGGCAGCCAGAGGACGTGCAAATGGAGGACGCCTCCTCCGACGAGCCAGCCCCACCTTCCCCATCCTCCGCGGCACCCTCCTCCTCCGCTCCACCCTCACCGATGCATTGCACCATGACCATCGGCGAGGCCGTGCCCATTATATTGACATGGTGCACGGAGCGGGAGGAACAGTCCCGGGAGACGCAGGCCGATGCCAACTGTAACAACAACCTCCTCCGCCGACACCGCGGTCGCGCTGGACGCGGACCGACAAAGAAGGAGGCGCTGCTCCAATCCTACCACTCCGCCCGTGAGATCTGCCTTGCCCGCTTGCGGTACCAGCAGCGGGTGGCGGAGGTGGGGGCCGCCGGCAAGGAGCGTGATGACTACGAGGGCAAGGTGTTGTTCGGCGACACCGACAACGAGGAGGCCTCGTCGGCGCCACGACGCCGGCGGCGAGGAAGAGTAGTGCATGATAGGTCACCACCGCTCGTGTCCCAGGAAGGACACCGCTCCTCCTCTCCCGTCGACGCCAAGCTTGGTGTGCTCGGCATCTTCGGGCGATTAGTCGTTTGGCGGCAACATCGAGGCGGACGGCTTCAGTTCCCGGGGCTCTGGAGGCGGAGCTGGAGAGCGCCAAGGCGGGACTGGAGACGGTGAAGCTTCAGTTCTCAGGGCTGATGGCAGGAGACTGGGACCTGACGCCGGCGATCATTTAGCTTAGGTATTAATTATACTCTAGAGCCCGCCTAGGACAATTTTGATGTATATGTAATGAAATTCGTCATGTTTATATGAAATCGGATATGTTTATATGAAATCAGGTCGTGTTTATATGAAATCTAGACTTGTTTGAACGAATTTTGTCCGATTGGTTTGAGTTATTGTGAAAATGTATGCGGCTAGCGTTGGATGGCTGCCTCCTGCATCTTTGTCCACGGACGGATGCGGGAGGTTTTTTGGGGTTGGCGCTGGATATACCCCAAGTAAAGGCTAGGCCATTATAAGCGTCGCAATTTTGAACTAAAACTAAAACTGCAACACTTATTTTGGATCGAATGGAGTAGACCTCTTTATGCTACTGCTTTGTGTAAGGAAAGGTAGTTTGGGTGATGATACGACCACTTATTAGGAAAATGCTAACATCAAGAGAAAAGGACGACACATTCAGTGAATAGCCGTTCAGTTTAGAAAGTAGTGGAACTGATTGAA